GCTCTGCCGCGGTATTTTCTTCCCGCGCGTATTTTTTATTCATTAGACACGCCACTCTCGAGGTCTCCTTTCTCCGAATCCTTGATATTTCACACGTGGGAACATCTTGATTGCGCAGCACGCGTGTAAGATTCGAGTAGAAACTTCGTGAGAGCATTTACAACAGTAGGAAAAAGAAAGGGAAAGGGAATTGATCGATTGGAAAAGTGGTAAGTTGATCAAACAAAATATTATACGTACAAATATTTTTTACGCGTATATACAGATATTGTAAATTTTTATGTTTTATGTTTTTATGTTTTACAGTCAGTGGCTCTTGGACGAGGAAATAAATACTTGTCATTTCATAGTCGGATTTGCATAACTGCTAACTGAATGACGTTATGAGATAACGTTCGCAAATTAATATAATTATGGAAGTAAAATAGTTTGAGCGGAGACAGTTGGAACAATATTTGACTGCAAAATTCTACTCAAATATCCACTCGAAATAAACGTTCACAATAACATTACGCTCGCGTAAAATCGACGAGAGTAATTAATTCACGTAGTAATAAAATATATGATAATTATACTTCCTCCCCCGGGTTAGCGAATGTGTTGTTTCTGAAAATTCATCGCGTTATACGCGGAAATGCATACAAGTTTCATGCTCGCGGTTAAGGATTTAGCCCAGGACCGAATTTTCGATTAAATTCTCGAGCGCACCCATCCTCGCGTATTTTCGCGAGTAATCTCGCATTTTCAAATCGGTTGCGTCGAGATTATGACGTGTAGATCGCATTAATAGTGAAAAAGTATTTTATCATTAAATAAATCTTTATGATTTTAAAGGTTCACATTAATGTATTAAATTTCTTTTCCAATTTCTTTTCCACAACTGTGAGCTGTTATTGTTACCGAGAAAGAACGTAATCTTTATTAAAAGCGAAAAATTTCCGAAAAAAATTCAATTCGATTCTCGTCCATAATGCACGACCTTGAAAGTTCGACTTGAAATCGAGGTTTCTATTAATCCGATGGATGAAATCACGTTAGCTCTTGACCGATGAAGCTGTGTGCCATCGCCGGCATCGAATTAATGGAAAAAGTTTCCCGCGCGGGAAAATTGTTGCCATAAGTCGGCGAGCGCGAGAAATGAAACGAAACTCTCGCTCGAACTTTTTTTCCAATTAACCGGACGATCGCGTGGATGATTCGCGATCGATCTGGCGGTGCGCGTCGTTCGTCGATTACTTACGAATAAAGTGAAATTGAAATACCGATGTTCCGTTTCCGTTTCGTGGAATATCACTAATCGTCAGTGCCTCGTGTATAATAGCTGAATGCTTCTGACGTTGCAATCGTAAGATCCGTTGCTGCTGTTGCTGCTACTGTTGCATTGAATACGCTTCCGCTTTTGGCTCACAAGCTCGCGAAATACCGCATATCCACGAATACGAAACTGTCCTCTATATTCCGCATAAGTTCCGCGCGCAAGGGATTAATTTCGCGAAACTGTTGTTTGAGGGAGTCCTTTGTAATTCCAGGCACTAGAAAATGTAATACATTATGTTAGGAACAGTGATAAAATGAGCGCGCTATCCCTATACGAGAAGTTGAAAAGACGCAAAAAGAAGAAAAAATATTTATTTAATGCTTAAGATATCACTATGTTTCGTACGGTAAAATGTTTATTATCTCAATTTTTATTTCAAAAGTTTAATTACTGAAAATTTTTTGTATAATTGTGATTCTTTTAAAGTTAATTTAAGTTGACATTTTAATTTAGATTCTAATAACGTACGGTAAATTTTCCAGATAATACTACTTTGCAGCTTTATTTGCTACAATTTGATACAATTTACTGCTTCGAGATTAGCAAAATGTGAACGAGAAAGGTAAAAATGTATTTCACAAGATAAGTGAGTCTTAAATATACTTCGTTTGGAAATCCACGTTTATCTCTCGTATAATATAAAAATAAAAATATGTAAGAATAACATAATTATACAATCTCAATCATATATCTCATAAATATCAAATTAATTTTTAAAATTTATTTTTTAAACTTGTATGATTTTTCACAATTAATTTTAATTGAATTCCTTAACAGAAATGTGATTACAAGTATAAAATACAAAAATTTTCCGAGGTTTTGCTTATATAATGCTTGTATATTTCGCAATCAAAGACTTTTCTCGTGTCGTAAGAACTTAACAATGATGCCAGATTTCAAAGAACAATCGAGGTTCAAAGCGCATAGGTTCTTTTAAGTAAGCGAGTTGTAGCAAGAGATAAAAGAGGATTCCTCGTAGCTTGGCATATCTTTGTTGTTAATGTAAATTGTTAAAGACAATTTCCCCTAATTATTAAATAAGTGTAGAAGTCTTAGTTGGTAGATAATCGGTGGAAATTCTTTTCATAAGTTTTACGGAAGCAAAACCGTTAACGTTCCTCCAACTGTTTGAGCTTTCCATTTTAAGTTAATATTTTGAAAGACTCGCAAGAAGCAAAGTTGTTTATATAATTCGTCTTTAGTCTCGTAGAGATGAAAGGATACTATATTAAATTTAATTTTCCACAATATTCATTGTAGACGTATGTAAGATTTACGATGGTAAATTATTTAAATTTAACTTATATTATACTAAAAGTTATTTAATCTCATAAAATTTATAAATAAAATGCGTATACAATTTGCTTGAAATCATTCTAAAAATGTTGCATTAAAAGACGTATATTAGTGCGAAGAGCAGTGAAGGTATAAAACCTTTGCTTTCCATCTCCAGATGGGTAACAAGCATCGTCAGAAATCGCTAGTTACATAGCGAGACGCTTTTCCAACCTCACCTGGATCTCCATCGCGCAACTTTCCGCACTATTCGACACGCTGAAGCACCCTTCCCTGTTTCACCCATCCTCTCTCGCGCCCCTCTCGTGTCGGAACTCTATTCCGACACCCTCGTCGGTATAATAACCGAAGTGTCCCGAAACGCTGTTCGTCGCCTGCGCATCACGAAATATCCTCGTCGCACCCCCTTCGGACAGTCCGCGGCGAACGAGGAAGGAGCGGAAGGGCTGCAGGATAATGGAGGGGCAGGGACACAAGGGAGGTACGAGCCCGACCTGAGTCCATCGCCAGGAACTTCCTCACCGCGCGCACGAATCGATCAGGTAGTGACCGTTCGTGTGACGTCTTGTCAGGATCCGTTCGCAGGCTCTCCTCCTGCGGTCTTCGACGTGGCTAATGAGGGTGTCGCGAACACGTGGGGCATGTTAGGGAATATCTTGGGTCTCACCTCAGGATGGAATTCCTTGTAGATATATATATATATATATATATATATATATATATATATATATATTCGAAGTCAATTCCGAATCAATTTGTTCATATCAAAACGATACTTTCTGAATCTCAATTTAAAGATTCTGCATACCAAAGTTATTAGAACTTTGATTGGATCATCTAAATCTAGGACTTGGATTATCTAAAACTAATCGGAATAGGAATTATATAGTCTCATCGAATCTTTTACAAATTTAATTTTTTTTTTTTCTCAACGCGGAATCTGATTCTTGATCGGTTTGATGCAAGATTCTTTACGGTTTGCAATTATATTTTCCCAGGATATGTAGTTTTCTGTACGACCGCGTTGCGCGAAGCAAACAGATTTATCTCAATGGAATTACATCATGAAGAGATATTTACGAGTTACGCTTTAAGAGCATTACGCTTTCGTATTTCGAATTATGTAATGTCGCACACGAGTGCGACATGTCGCAATTTATCGTGAACAAAGTTAAGATTCAGCGATGCAACTCGATTTCCAGCGTTTCCGATTAAACGTATCGACGACGAAGCTACCGTTGTTTATTTAGGAACACGACTTGCATACAGTTCCGGCAATAATATTGCGCATGATTCAGTGCAACAATACAACGCTGTCGAAATTTCGTGATTTTCGTACTTTGATTCGTTTCTGCTTTATGTATGCATGCCGCATCTATTTGCGGCATCCCACTGCAACTCGGTATCATTTCATAATTCCGATCCACGGATTAAGTGGATAACGCAGATTTATATTCTCTATCTATTTCTCACTCATCTTTCAGCTGCTGAACATCTGCGTATTAAGCGTTTAAAATCGGTGCTAAGGTTGCGAATATGCGAGTGCGCGAAACATTCTCTGTTGAAAGATAAATCTAATTTAAATTACCTAAAGTAAGTAGTAAAAGCCTATGTTAACAAAAGATAATAATAAGAAATAAAATTAGCAACTTTACGACAGAATTACATTTAATGTATTTTACATTAAAAAAAAAAAAACCGTTTGTTATATCAAAAAAAGATATATCTATGTGTAACATATGCTACCAGATTTAAATTTGTCATATCAAAGTATTTATTACCACGAAGAAAATCCAAGCGCGAGAAATATTAGAAACTTTGAGAATTCACTTTGGGGATAATGCATATTTAAGATTGGGTATATAAAGAGATTTGTCTTTTATTGTCTCTTTTCCTTTTTTCCCTCTTGTGCGAAAGTGTCGACTTCTTTTCCTGCGTGCTTTCCATTGAGCTGACAGGGAACATCATATCCATTCACTACGGAGTCAGATCGACCTGATATACGACCTCCCTCAAGACTTCGATTACGCAGTAGTCGAGATCGACGTACGCACCGACGACGCACGCTTGTTCTCGGTAGTGTCTTCGTCTTGTCCTATATCGGCCGGTGAGGCGAAGGCTTCTTGCCCCTAACTCTCCGAGAGGATAAGGGGCACGAGCTTGCGCCCTGAGCTGCTCGTCGAGAGGCTTCGGGACGAGGAGCATGAAGGGGTAAGCGGACGTAGCGGTATTAGGTGGGGTTGAGAGGTGAGCTTTTTCGGGGGAGGACGCGTTCGTTCGCTGTAGAACGTAGCTGGTACAGGGGGTTGTCGCGGCAGGAATACTGACAGGAAGGTGGGAAAGAGGGAGGAAAGTACACGGGGAGCGAGGTAGTGGTGGCGGTCCTTCGGTGGGAGAAACGGCAGACCCGGGCAGTGCAAGCCGGGCTGCCTGCCCGACGATACGGTCGTTACGTTGAGATGTCGCGGTAATTTGTCTCTTTTTTTTTTCCTCTGCACGCAAGTTGAGCTTGACACCGCTCGTTCAGGACGTCGGTTTCGTCTTTCTCCCCATCCCTCCCGGGCACACGCCGCCGGCGCATACGTCTGTCGGGGGCCGGTGTTCTTTCGAGCGTCGTAAAAGTGGACGTGCCAAGACAATACCGGAGAGCACGTGCATCCGTGCGAAAGGGGGCCGAAGAGCGCGCTCGAGGGGTCGCACACGCACCCCCCTACCCCCTTCTTGGAAGGCTCGCGCTGCAGCCGACAAGTAACAGGTTGGTGTTGTAGCAACGTCTTTAGAAGCGAGCGATCGCGATCGATCCTGTGCAAAGGTGCGGGATATGTGCGCTCGTGTACAGAGCGGAGCTTTAACTATCGTCATACTGCTTTTGCCACTTGATTTTTAGATACGAAACCGTTAGAGAATCAAAAATCTAGTTGAGAATATGTTTTGAAGTAATGAAACGTGACATATGCATGCGATAGTGTCGAAAATCTTGCAAGAGCAAGATCTTGCTCAAATCATACTTTATTTCATTATTTTTCACATATGTTAATTGATTACAAACCATGATAAGATAGTGTCAGACGCGTCCAGGAGGATATGAGAATGACAATCCGAAAGATAATGCATAATCTGTATAAAGGTGGCGAGGCACGTAGCACTTTCGGTGATCAATATTCAGGTGTGAACTTGTTATAACTTGCTACAATAGTGTAGGTTCAGATTCAATCAAATCAGAAAATATCTTTGAGAACAGTGACAATGGCGAGAATTGGTTCTGGAGGAAGTTAGCCAGCTGCCAGCTGCTGCCAAACCCCAATCAAAGAATTTCATTATTTGTCTAAAATAATTTTAATATTTTAACTTTGACGATTAATTTTGACGATGTCGTATAATTTCTTAAGTGGTTTATAATATATTCCAAAAAAAGAAATAATATATTCAAATTTTACGTGCTGCGTATTATAATGAACATCATTCTTAAACATTATAATAAAAGTCACGTTACCTATAAATTTATCCTTTTAATATTAATTCTGTGAGATAAGATTTTTATCTATAACGAAAGACTAAGGGGAACTGGAAAGCACTTTTTGATAATTCTCCGTAATTTTATGACACGCAATCTACGCCTCATAGAAACACAGAATTTAGAGAAGATAAATAAAATCGAAAAGATAAATTTTGCAAATGTGTTTTCAGTGGGGTGTTTTCAGCGATGTTATTCTAATAAATCGCGACCAAGTAACAGGTTGACGGCAGTAAATCGCAATTATTCCGTGCTTTGCGGTCACCAATGTTCGATAACGATCGATTTACTGCGAAATGCAGTTGTTTGCTTTCTGGAATGGTTAATGAGGTGATAGATGACGAGCGATGGATGATGCTTGGTGGTTTTCGCGCCGCGCCAACTTGATATAAGTTGGCGAGTTCCGTGCTAAGTAACAGGTTGCCTCGGTTGTAGATCAGAGCGGAGATTTGTTTCGTGTCAGTCTTCGCCGAGTGCGAGTATACGATACGTAATTAAGTTACACACGTAACAAGGGAGGCAGAATTGAATTCGGAGCTCAATGCCAGTCGTCCTTCAGCTGGAATCACGCCGTTCCGTCTGCGTCGCGCTGCGTATTTTACGCCGTTCTTAATGACGTACGATCGAGTTCGCTTGATTTAAGCCGTTAATCTTCCTGTAAATTGGGAGCCTCTAAGCGCATTTGAGTAACAGGTTGGTGCTACCAAATCCGAAGTTAGGTCTATTGAGACCAGTGGTCGTGATGTTTCGTGAGTGTAAGGCGGTTTATGCAATTAGCTTGAACACGAGTGTTACGTCTTTTGAGTGGAAATCTTGCAAATATAATCTTGTTTTGCATTAAACATCGTCGCATACATTTTGTATTAATGTAATAGAAATGTCGTTCAAATATGCGTGTTTGATTACAATTTGTTTGTTATTGTTAAATGTTAAAAGGAATGTATTTTCACCATAATTATTTTACAAAATAATTATGGAAATAATTATTTTATATGTCTCTCGCAACATGAGAAATCCATATTTCAATATTAAATTAGATTTACTACATTTTACTACAATTGAGGAGATGGATGAAATAAGGGCTTATAATTATAAAATCTTGATTTTGAGAAAAATTAAAATAACTTGCTACTTTTTATTACATAAAACAAATGTTTTTCTATTTTCTTTTTTCTATAAATCATATTGTTTTCACTATCACAGAACAATGAAAACACGTTCATATAACCAATATAACATCAGTTTCCTTACGCTAATCTCTGGAAAAAGGGCCTAAGTAGAATTGCATCTTTATTTTAGCCATCCCCTCAATTATATTTTATATACAATTACATATTTGCGATTCTCTTTTTTTTTAGTCATGTGAGCTTACAAGATCTTAGGGCTTTATGTTCTTAAGCCTTCTATAGCTCTATAAAACTTTTCTTGTTTCCCGCGATATCCTATTACGACACTTTTGTCCTTATCGTGACGATATAACAAGCGGAACTTCTTTATGCAAGCTTGTATGAACTTACGGCCTGAATACAAAGAATATCATCTAACTTACACGATGCACACGAGATTATATAATAATGATATTATTATAATTTATTGTCTTCCAATTATATTTACGCGATAACTGAGATAACGATTTCGCTCTTCTTGCGCTTTTTGCGATCAGTTATTTTTCGAGAATGAGAATTTCGTTATTTTATCACTGAATGAGGCAAACTTGATAGGAAGCCAAGGAAATATACTTCGATACAATTCGATGTTTGCCTAAATATACTTCGATACTCGCAACATTATTTCCGACTCGATAAACTCCCACGACATTATTATAATAATTTATATCTTTCAGATATCCGGTTCATTTATTTATAAGATAATATCCGAAAAGATTCATTTAAAATTCTCTTACTTTAATCCGAACAGTTTAAGTAATATGGATAACTTGATATTGCAACTGTAAAACGCACGTGAAATTTTATTAACGCTCAGTTTTCGACGAAAAATGATGTTTCCGCAAGTTTAATTAAAACGTCAGTTACCACGCACCGTGTGAAAATGATCGGTGAATTTAAAAAAAAAAAATCAACGAAACCGCATTTCGCGATTGTTGAATAATGGCCGAGGTTGAGCTTGTGTTTGCGGTAAAAGTTAGAGTCTTTTTCTCCTCGCACGTTTAATTCGTATAACTTCAAATTCTGCATTTTTTTCATTCCTAAATAGTCAGAAAAAATAATAAATTAATCGATATATAAACTGCGTGATATATTCGAAATATGAGAAATAATTAATATGATATATTCTTATAGATAACGCTATCTAATTATTGTCAATTGGATTTATATTATCTTGTACAGCTGATATTATCCTTTAATTTCGAAACAAAATTAATTAAAAATGTTGAGCAGCTGCTAAGCTGTTGAAATAAAAATTGGATAGCCATCGTGACCGAATTTTTGAAGCGGCGGTTTCGTTATTGCTAAGTCAATAGACTTCAATAAGCCACCGTTAACGTGGCCACTGTTTTACACACCAGCCATCGAGAACCAATAAATCTAACGTAACACACAGAGCGCAGCCGTTGGCGAGATGCCAACACGAGGCAGGCGCGTGTATTCTCGCAAAGGTAATGTTTCCGCGGCGCGCCTTTTCTCATTTCGCAAATTTCGGCTTCCAGATCGCGATTCGAACAACCTCGCGAGTTCGCGTTTCTCCCCCATCTCCCGTGGGGTTTGCAACTTTACGGGCCTTATGGAATTTTCCCATCGACCCAAAAAGCAAATCCGAGTATGGCACCTTTGGCGCGTCAGCGCGAGAATAAAGGATCATCGAAATATTTCCTGTCACTTTCTAGATTCCCATCGGGCGCTATTACTGTCCGGAAACGAAATGTCGACATACGACTTATTCGAGAAGAGCGCGAGCTTTCTTATTTATGGCGAACGCGCGTTCGCATGCACGAGTTCCAAACAAAAAAAAAAAAAAAAAA